CCCGTCATTGACTATGAGCAGATTGACCAGGATGCCCGGGAGCTGTATGATGCTGGCGTGAAGAGGAAGGGAACTGATGTGCCCAAGTGGATCAACATCCTGACAGAGCGCAGTGTGTGCCTCCTGCAGAAAGTGCTTGAAAGGTACAAGAGCTCCAGTCCTTATGACATGCTGGAGCGCGTCAAGAAGGAAGTCAAAGGAGACTTGGAAAAGGCTTTCCTGAACCTGGTCCAGTGTATCCAGAACAAGCCCCTGTACTTTGCTGACCGACTGTCTGACTCCATGAAGGGCAAGGGAACTCACGATAAGATTCTGATTAGGATCATGGTCTCCCGCAGTGAAGTGGACATGTTGAAAATTAGATCTGAATTCAAGAGAAAGTATGGCAGGTCCCTGTACCACTTTCAATAGTCTTTTAACTTCTGCAGTCCCTGGTGGAAATCAGCATCTTGCAGGCTTATCGCTGGTCTTATTATCACTTCATATTTTCTGTTTGTGTTATTCTCTTTGCCGGCCCAGGCTAAAGTACCACATCGGACAGCATTTTTCTAGGTGTTGAGCTCGCCTCACAATGTTGGATGCAGCATGATGAAAAACCACAAAGTAGGAAATAAAGGCAGGAAACCAGAAAGGATACATGTGTCCCTTTTGCATCCAATGAAGAAAAGTTTGCAAAAACAACAATTTCCCATAATTAGACTTCCTTTTCCATAATTGTTGTTGTTGTTGTTATGTGCCATCGAGTCGTTTAGACTTCAGTTTTTACAGTGTCAAACTGTAGTTCCAACATTTTCAGTATCTAGACCCTATTTTGCTAAATACCCCTAACCCTGTCATTGATTTGGATTTTTTAACATCTTACCCACCAAACAACCTTTACTAAGAAATAGATTCCCTTGATGTGGAAACATGTATTCTCTGTAATCAAAACAAAACCAAAGATCAAGCCTACTGCAGTCAAGTCAATTGCAGCTCCTGGTGGACCCTCCCTCAGGTTGCCACGTCCAAAATATTTATGAAACAAGACTGATGCCCTTTCTTCCATCAGGAACCTGGCGTATTCGAACCACCAACCTTTCAGTTAGTGGCCGAACACATAACAAGATATGCCGCCTGAGTCCCTTAGTAATTAAAAGACGTACCTAGTTAGTAATCTGATGAATTTCTAAACATGATATCCTTGCTTTTTCATAGTTTTTAAAATATATTTTATTTTAGTGGAAGTTTATAAATATCATTAGAGGGGTTCCCCCCCCCAGACATTCAGAGGCAATAATTACCACTAGTTGATACAGTTAACTTATTAAGGTTGGGAAAAATCTGCTGTCAGGAACCTCTCCAGAGTGCAAAAGAGTAATGATGTAAGTCTGCAGACACAGCTGCATCTGATCCACGCCATGGTCTTTCCAACTACCTGCTGTGCCTCAGATTGCTGGACACTAAGGACACTGGACACTAAGGATGGCAGAAGGAGGATTGATGCCTTTGAGTTGTGGTGCTGGAGGAGAGTGTTCCGTGGACTGCCAAGAGAACAGACAGGTTTGTCCTAGAGAGGGTGAAACCATGTTGCCCCTTAGAGATGAGGATTTTGAAGCTCTGACTCACGTACTT